AATGGGCATTTTCCAGGGTGGCTACCAAATGAGGAGAGTGTCATTTCATCCCTCTTTCCCCAACTTGCCTCTGAAATTGACTAAAAGACAAGGAACAATAGTGAATTGCTGGTAGAGGTCCTAAGTAATCCTGACTGGATAATTGGCTTTAAAAATGTGAAGTATCTCATGCTAAGCAATCAGAATATCTTTCCCAAATAGCTTTCAGAAAGAGAAAAAAGCAGGCACTCATTATCCTAAGTGAAAGACAGTTCCTAGTTCCATTAACTTGCCACTCTTTTGGAAAAACTGAGACCGTTTTTCTCTTTCACTGTCTTAGGGTGGACATCAGTGGATGTGTTAGCCCTCCGCCCTTCCAGCCCTTCCCCTCGTGTCATCACTGGGATCTTCCCCTGGGGACCTCTCACCTCCCACTCTCAGGCCTGGTGGTTCAGAGCCTGAGGGCTCCCCTGCGACTCCTCCCCTCCCAGGGTGCTGGGGCTGTCCTCCGCACCATCCTGGCCAATCTGTAGATTCCAATCCCCTGGCCTCAGTTACTGGTTCTAGGACAGGCGTGGGATCCAAATGGATCATGTGATATTCAGGAATATGGATGATTCCTAAAAAGAGAAGTTGAGCTGGCCGGCTACAGCTGCTCTGAGTGGGTGAAGTAGGACCATCCAAGGGAAAGAACCTGTCTGATTTGATCAAGTCCCATTGATTTATTTTTGTTGTTGCTATAATTGCCTTTGGGATCTTAGTCATAAATTCTTTGCCTAGGCTGATATCTAAAAGTTTTTTCTACATTTTCTGCTAGAATTCTTGTGGTTTCACACCTTAAATTTAAGCCTTTTATCTACCTTGAAGTAATTTTTGTGATGCGTGAGACATACGGGTCCTATTTCCCTCTTCTGTATATGGCTATCCAATTTTCCCAGCACCATTTATTGAACAGGGTTTTTTTCCCCCAGTATAAGTTGTATGGAAAACAATATGAAGATTTCTCAAGGAAGTGAAAGTAGACCTACCATTTGATTGAGCAATCTCACTCCTGGGTGCCTACCCAAAGGAATTGAAGTTATTTTTTCAAAAAGACACCTGCATTCTAATGTTTATTGTAGCAAAATTCACAATTGCAAAAATATGTAGTCAACCCAAGAGCCCATCAATTCATGAGTGGATTAACAAAATGTGGTATGTGTATACCATGTACTACTACTCAGCCAAAAAAAGGGATGCATTAATGCCTTTGCTGCAATTTGGATGGAACTGGAGACCATTATCCTAAGCGAAGTATTTTAAGAATGGAAAAACAAACACACCACGTGTACTTTCTAATAAATTAGAACCAACTGAGGGGCACACATGTGCACAGAGGGAGTTAAAAGTCATTGGAAATCAAGTGCAGGGGTGGGGGGAAGGGAAGGGGCAAAAACCTACCTAACGGGTACAACGAGCATTATTTGGGTGATGGGCACAATTAGCCCTGACTCAGCATTATAAAGCTATCCACCTCACAAAAACATTTGTACCCCCTTAACATGTTGAAATTAAAAGTTAAAACAATCAAAACAAAAAAACAAAAAAACACCTGCCTGAGAATGGAACCAGAGAAGTACAAGCCAAGTACGCAGATCAGAAGAGAATGACAGATCCTGACCGCAGGCTTACGAGCACCCAGATTCAACTGTGCCTGACACGAAATCCATCAATCAGTCCCCCTTTTTACTTCAGCCACTTTAAATAGGGTTTCTATCATTTGCAAGGAAAAGAACCTTGACTAATGCACCCCTATTTACTCTGCAAAATTCAGCCCACTTCCTCTGGTTGGCTTTTTCTGAGGATTCCTTACTGAGAGGTATCTGTCTGCAGCTTTCCTGTGGCTCTTCATTTTTCTAGCCATTTCACTAATTGAAGCTTTCACTTTGTATGGTAATCATTAGACCTTCAGGTCTAGAGCAGGGTCAATGTCTAACTGAATTCCTAATACTTCCCTAATGCCTCAGGCTTTAGGAGAGACTCAAAATATCTGTATTGAATTGAATTTGATTCTAAATACTCTTTCAGTGGATGTTGCACCCTTAGTTCCCATAGCACTCAGAATATAAGTCCAAACTCTTTGCTATGGCAGCAGGGTCCCTGGGGATCTGCCTGCGTCTCTTTTCTCAGCTCCCACCCCAGGGCTCTGTGCTCTGCCTTCACCTCCCAAGTCTGCTCCTTCCTCTGAGTCTTTACATTTGCTATTTCTTCTGCCAGGAAAGCTGTTCTTCCAGACGCTGAAGACATCGTTCCATCATATCATTCAGGGTTCTGCTCAATTATCTCCATGTCAAGGAGTCTTGCCCAGACAATCTGATCCAAAGTAGCACTTCTGTCACACTCCAACCTTTGCCCTCCTATATTTTTTTCATGACATTTATCACTGTCTGATGCGGGAGTGCCCAGTACATATTTATTTTACTTATCACTGTCTACTCTAGAATGGATGAGGGCAGGGATTTTTGTTTGTTTTGTTCACTGTTGTATTCCTAGCCCTTAAAACTATATCTGTGTTCTCAAAATAATGGCTATTATAAATTTTATTTTATGTTTTTTTAATTTTTAATTTTTGTTTTTTTTGAAACAGTCTCACTCTGTCGCACTGGGTAGAGTGCTGTGAAATCATAGCTCACAGCAACCTCAAACTCTTGGGTTCAAGTGATCCTCTTGCTTCAACCTCCCAAGTTGCTGGGACTACAGACACTTGCCACAACATCTGGCTAGTATTTTTTTTTCTAATTTTAGTCCCCTAGCTAGTTTTCTTCTATTTTTGGCAGAGACTGGGGTCTCACTCTTGCTCAGGCTGGTCTTGAACTCTTGAGCTCAAGGGATCCACCATCCTTGACCACCCATAGTGCTAGGATTATAGGCATGAGCCACCATACCTGGCCTTGATATGCATTTTACAAATAATCTTACATCGAAAAGGATAAAAACAGAAAGCTCTAGAATTGAAACCAACATTGATAAGTGAACCTAACTGTATATTAAATCGTAACATTGTCACCCTGAAAAAGATAGAGTTCTGATAACTTTTCAACACAGGACTTTGATGATAAGCCTACAGCAAAATGTAGCCTAAAGATGAAAATAGCTGCAGAAAAAAAGAACTTTAAATGTAACTTTGAGGTTTCTTGTTGGTAATGGTACCAGTGGAGTAATTCTGAAAACACTGGGGACATAACATGGGACTGAGCAAAACAATAAGCACACTGATGCTGGTGGGAAGCACGGTCCTCAGCACAGCAGGAAAATGAGGCATGCAGCTGTGGAACGGGGAAAGAAGAGAACCCGCGGTGTGGAATTAGGGTTATGGGTGTGAGTATGAAGTCATTTTGTTTCCTAGCTCTGCCCACAAAGTCTACCAGAAATGACATCTCAGAAGCAACGAGCACCCTTCCTGCCCAGGACTGGCGTTTTAAATACCATTCCTCATTCCGAGGAATCAGGGCTCCTGGAAGAAATTATTTCAGGGGGACAGCAAGGAAAGTACAAGATGATAATGGAACATACGCTGAAGGTACAAAAAGGAGGTATACACTTTTATTTATTTTTTAAACAGAGCCTCACTCTGTTGCCCAAGTGAGAGTGTTGTGGTGTCAGCCTAGCTCAGAGCAACCTCAAACTCTGGGGTCAAGTGATCCTCTTGTCTCACCCTTCCAAGTAGCTGGGACTACAGGTGCCTGCCATAGTGTCCAGCTAATTTTTCTGGGTTTTTTTGTTTTGTTTTGTTTTTTTTAGAGATAGGATCTCACTCTTGATCAGCCTGGTCTCAAGCTCCTGAGCTCAAGCAATCCTCCTGCCTCAGCCTCCCAAGGGCTCAGATTACAGGTATCAACCACAGCGTGTTGGTGGAAAAAATGTATATACATTTTAAGAAAGGAAAAAGACTTGCTGTTAAAAATGTAATACTCAGGTCATGTTTGACTTTGGCAATTACACAAGATACAATTTAGAAGATAACAAATGTTATTGGCTATTGAATATGACAATTTTAATGCAGTTTTTTCCTTTTTTAAAAAAATGTATACATTTTTTGGCACCTTCTGTATTTGTACCAAAAACATAAGGAAACACTCAGAAAGTAACGGGGACCTGTGAAAAGAGCACGGTTGAAGGGGCTCCCATCAACAAAACTGCAACAATATAAACGTCAAGGACGATAATGATAGCAATAAATTATCACAGATCAAATAGGTGCAGCAATGCATATCCATGAGTCTACAGTAAGCTTTATGGAAGTAAATAATAGAGAGAAGGAGGGAAAACTCTTCATGACAGAGGAATGTAAATGACAACTATAGTAAGACAGTTTAGAAAAATCACCATTTGGTAACCTCCGGTGTAATAACTGATTCGGACAGAGGTCATCAATAGATATTAAAACTTTTGGGTGACAGATTTTCAGGGAACGGATGTTCCCATGGTTTTCAGATTATTAATTAATTATAAATAGAAACAAATGTCTTTACAACAGTGAGATCCCGCAGACAGCACCTTGACATAGTGATCAAGTTCACTATCCCGGTAATGGGCATGCTGACATTATGAAACTCCTTTCTATGATATAACAGAAAGTATATGGCATCACCTCTGTGGCGCTCACACCACAATGTTTTGACATGGAGGAAAGAAAGAATCAGATTCAGAACATAGAACATTTCACAAGGCGTCTGGCCAGGGCTCTTCCAAATCATCTTCATGAATGACAACAAGAAAAAGCCAGGGACTGAGGCATGAACGCTCACTGTACCCACAACATTATATGAACCTTTATTGAGTCCTAGGTTTAAAAATGCTCTAGAAAATATTTGGTGGGTAACTGGAGAATTTCAAATATAGTCTCAATCATTATTGATGTAAATATATGTTTGTGTATGTGGATGTATATGTGTATGTATATTTATAATGGACAGACTGGCATAATATGTTTCAGTCTTGCTGAGGTTTGAGCAACGTGAGCAAACGTGACTTCAACTCACCTCCCCCGTGGCATAAAACTCATTATCTTTATATTCAGGAAACAACTGGAAAAACTGAATTAATGCACTGCAAAAAAGAATAACAACAACAAGGAAAGCCAGTCAGAAAAATGAATCAGAATCGCTTCATGCCATGATACCAAACCAAACCCTTTGGTAATAGGTGTTCATATTCATTTGAAATAAGATGCTATTTTGCCATGAGCTTCTAGAGGGCATTTTTTTCTTAAAAAACTTCATGTACACAATATTGCATACTATATGGATGTTTAGAAAACACGTGAGTTTACTTTATGCTACTAAGAAGTTTGGAAAAGTGGACTTCAATTTACTGGGCACATTTCCAAATCTCTGTCTTACCAATCTGGATCATCTACCTATTGGGTGACCCTTGAGGAAATGAAATGGGCTTTCACCTACAATGTAGCAATTCTTGGAGGTGGCTCTGTAAACCTTGTGACCCCATTAGCCCAGGTTTGTGGTCAAGTAACTGGAACCTCAGTTGCTAACCAACCTCCCACTAAAAGGAGACCCTAAACATCTCTGATGGAGCTCCCAGAATATCAACATTTTAATAACCAAAGAACAGAAAACTAAAATGACTATAATCTAAAACCAGCAGACGGCCCCAGTTATTAAAGTAAACGTACAGTGGCCTCTGAGCTAAGAAAAATTTACAGTTACTTAAGAGTACAACAGCCACTTCAGGAAGTTAAGCTTAAATTGATTTAAACAGACTCAAAGAATTTTGTTATAATAAGCTGGGGAAAAAAGACGGATCTTTAAAATGACTCTCTAATTGACAAAAATCTTTCAAAAAAAGGAAATCAAAAACTAGTGAAACTCCGAAGCCCTCTGAGTGTTTTGACCCAGATTACAGTGGCTTCCAGACACTAGGGAGGGGCTTTGTCCCAGCTTCCTGCTGAGGAACTGAAAGCCACGAGCCACCCAGGGAAGATGAAAGACCAGGAGGCTCTGGAAACCCAGGAGGAGCAGAGGTCAAGGGTTACAGAGAGGCAAAACTGGGTCATCACAATCACCATGATCCTGCCTAGACTTAATTTTCAAAGGCTCCATGAAAATTCACCATGTGACACTACTGTAGGGTTTGGGTATATTTCTGTATTCATTATTTATAGTGGCCTTTGTAGCAATTAAATCTGAGGAGCTGCATTTTATAGCTTTCGTGTTTGTGCTGGCAATAAGCTTGGCTTTTGAACCCAGATAAAAATAGGGACTCATTCTCCACCCTTCCCTTTCCAACCTCCAGGCTACAAACTACTTCCCTTTCTTCTCATTCCTTAGTGGAATCTTACTAGATAACTTAATTTAGTAAATCTCAATTAAGCCTTACGCTTTAGCTTAAAGCGCATTTCCTTGTAGGATCTGTGAAAGACTCACCAGGGCTGCCAGATTTAGCAAATAAAATTATGACATCCAATTAAATTTGAATTTCAGATAAATAACACATAATGTTTCAGGATAAGTATATTTTAAATATTTCATGGAACAGACTTACCTTAAAAATGTATTTGTTTCTCTGGAATTCAAATTTACCCACACATTCTGTGTTATCTGACAATCTTAGTGGGAGATAATCTCCTAGGTTACTTTGAGCTCTAAAATGCCACAATTCTAAAGGCAAGGATCTGCTTGAGGAAGTTATCATGGAGTTTTAATCTCATAGTTACATCAGAAAAAAAAAATTGAGGCCAGGTGCAGTGGCTCATGTCTGTATCCTGGCACTTTGGAAGGCCAAGGTGGGAGAATCACTTGAGACCACGAATTTAAGGCCGTAGTGATCCGTGATCATGCCACTGCATGCCAGCCTGAGTGACAGAGCAAATCCTTGTCTCAAAAAAATAAAAATAAAAAAATTGGCTTATTTCTTTTTTAATAAGTGCTTGGTCGGTCTTTCCTTAACAGGAGTGAAGAATGAAAAAGGTAAATTTAGTAAGTTAGATTTACATATGCCACTTGCTCATTTAATTGCATTTTAATCAGAAACTAGACTCATTATGTGGTGAGGGTAGGCTTGAAAATAGAATCTAGAACTGTGCCCACATGAAATTTCAAATTTTAGAAGCAGTAGAATTGCTAAAATATAGACCATAAAATACACACACGGGTGTGTACGTGGGCACACTGCAAGCACAAGAGCCATCGGCCCAGGGAGCTTGCCTCTTCCAGGTGATTCCATTGGACAACCTTGCTGGCATCGAGCCACGGACTTGTCTAATAAATAGAATTGAGTTAAAGGCTATCTGCTGGCAGAAAGGTACATTAAAGGACAGTAAGGAGAAAGAGAGATTTGCAAGGAAGAATGGCTAGGAGGAATTGATTCCCCAGATAATGTTTTAAAAAGAAAAGTTGGTAGATGCCGAGGAGGTGAGTGGACATGATCCCGTTATAGATTCAAAGACAGCACTAGAACTTGTTCAGTTCACATGGACTTGGAAGCATAATAAACACAAACAACGGTCAGGACAATTGAGTTTCAAATAATCTAAGCAAAAGCTCCCCACCAACAGGAGCCAGGCAAGGTGTAGCTACCGCAGTCACTGTCACTGGACTGAAACCAGCTGGGTGACAAGAATGCTGGTGGAGTTGCTCTGATGCAGCACCCGAGGGGGCCTCTCCTCCATCATGACACTCCCCGTGTGGCTGAGCCAGGATCCTCTCCACCCAGCACAGATCGTATAATGTTTGCATTTAACATTTAAAGCCTGCTTCGTAGTTGGGCTGCTGTGAAACTTTGTTTAGCAAGATGTATCACTTCCCATTACAAACCAGCACGTGGGACAGAACAACAGGGTCACTTCTATTCTGCTGCTAAGAAAATAACTACAGGCCACTCCTGGACTGTAAGCATCAGGAGAGCTGAGACCTTTGGGGCTGTCCACTACTGTACCACCAGCTCCAAAAGCAGTAGCTGGCACGTAGTGAATAGGCAGCTGATAAGCAGAGGCAGGGGAGTGGCACCAGCAAGGAGGTTCCAAATCAAGGGAATAAGTGTATTATTTTTCAGTAAATTTGTTTCCTAAACCAGAGAGGCATTGTGGCTCAATAGATTATCCCAAACAGGGGAAAGTAAGAGAGGGAGAGAGAAGAGAGAGAAAGTATTTAAGCATCTTGTTAGTGAAAAGGTTTCATTCCCAGACACAAAGAAAAGCAGCATAAATGTGAATGGTAGATACCCCTTTAAGAGGCCACTCCTATGGCCATGCACTATTAAAAGTGAAAAGAAATGGGATTTTCAGAAAAAAGATGGTTTCAAAGGGAGAAAGAGAAAGGTCCACTCTTTAAACCCGTAGTAGCCCATTTACAGGTTTCAAAGTGACCTTATTCCAAACACCCATCTGGACAGCGGGAGAGAAGAATGCAGTCACAAAGGAAGGCGTAGTGTAAACTATAAAGGAAACAGCTGAAATCAGTTTTCTGCACTACCCTTGATTAGCTATTTTCCACTTGTAAGTGCCTGAAGCAAAAAGAACTAAAACAGCTATAAACAACGGATGCTTTGAAATAGGTTCTCTTTACACGCCATGCAGGAGATGGACCACATGTTAGCAGTAGATGTCCACGTGGGAAGTCAAGTGGAAGCTGTGACCGATCCTGGGGGAGAAGAAGGAGAGAGGGAAAGACCTGCCAGCACAGGGATGCTCTGACTTACAGGGGCTAAAGCCCTCTTCAGTACAGAACCTCCACCCGGGCTTGCATGCGTTAAAGCCAAAAGTGGGCTGGGGGAATTGAGGGTAGTAGGTTTGGGGTCCCAAGAACGAGACACAATGCTAAGGAAAAGAGCTGGCTGTGAGGAACCGCTGGGAGGACCAGGGGCCAGCACAACCAGGTCTGCGGAGAGGAGAGGAGGTGCCAGGGAGGAGGCGGGAGGGGACCCCCTGCGAGCATCGCTGTGCCTGGAAGCAGGAGGGTGGAGTCCTGGGCATCGCCCCTGGAAATTGAATAGAAGTGTGCAAATCATGGGACATGTGGAAAGTGAAAGTGGAGACGAAAGATAACAGCCATGTTCTTTCCTGGGTCAGCAAGGGAGAGATATATTTGGGAGAAAGACCCAAGAGGTTCCTCTTCCCTCTCTCCTCAGCCATCTGCCTTGGGGAGAAAGAAGAGTACATCAGAAAGCCCTTGTCAGAGATCAGAAAACAGACACCCATTAGATGCCAGAGATCAGAAAATGGACACCCATTAGGTGCACTTTCACGCTGGAGCCCCAGTGGGTTTGCTCACCTAGGAATTAGCAGAGCGATTGTCCGGTGGAGGTGGGGGGTAGGCGAGCTAGTTAACTCCTCTAGCCACTAGGGTTCTTTTAGTAAACTGTTATAAATGCATAAAGGGGTGGCCTAGTGACCTGAAAGAATTCAGGACTTATTCTCCAATAATAATTTATAGACTGGAAAAATCTGACCAAATAGGAAAGGTCACTTACTTAAAAAAAATGCTAAAAATAGCTTTAATGACTATGAGTAAAAAAAGAGAGAAATTATATGTACACTGTTTTATTAAGGCTTACCACTTTGTACTTTTCCTTTTTTTTTTTTTAAGCAAAGTAAAATGCTGTAAGATGAAGACAAAACTTCAGAGACGAGCTAACGAGCTCAGTTTTCAGCCTGGAAAAGTTAAGAAGTGGAAGCAAAAGAGTGAAGATTGCATCTGAAGGCCGCACAAAAGGAGGGCTCCTGGGAGAGGAAACAAGCCAATATCTGAAAAGGTGCTGTCTCCCAGCAAAAGCAAAGTTAAATACGTTTTTGGAAAACAAGCAGAAACCTCTCAGACATCTGGTTGAAAGGTTCGACAAATAACCTATTGGAAAAATTCTGTTCTGTTGCTGTCGTTTTTTTCAAGGATATTTCTGCAAAACTATAATCATGCCTTAAGATTTATTTATTTATTTATTTATTTTTGTGAGACAGAGCCTCAAGATATGCCTTGGGTAGAGTGCTGTGGCATCACAGCTCACAGCAACCCCAAACTCCTGGGTTTTTTTTTTTTTTTTTGAGACAGAGCCTCAAGCTGTCCCCCTGGGCAGAGTGCCGTGGCATTACAGCTCACAGCAACCTCCAACTCCTGGGCTCAAGCAAGTCTCCTGCTTCCGCCTCCCAAGTAGCTGGGACCACAGGCTCCCACCACAACGCCCGGCTATTTTTTGGTTGCAGCCATCATTGTTGTTTGGTGGGTCCAGGCTGGGGATTTGAACCTGCCACCTTAGGTGTACGTGGCTGGCGCCTTAGCCGGTTGCGCTATAGGCGCCGAGCCAACTCCTGGGTTTAAGAGATTCTCTTGCCTCAGCCTCCTGAGTAGCTGGGACTATAGATACCCACCACAATGCCCGGCTATTTTTTTGGTTGTAGTTGTCATAGTTTGGCAGGCCCAGGTCAGATTTGAACCCATCAGCTCTGGTGTATGTGGCTGGCGCCTTAGCTGCTTGAGCTACAGGCGCCACCCAATGCCTTAAGATTTCACCTCTTCACATTACTCTGTTTTCTGGCGACTTGTACAATTATCAATGACAATGTTTCAAAGTTGAAAATAGAATGTGTGTGAGTGTTTGGGTGCGTGTGCGCGCACGTGTGTGTACATATGCCTTGAATAGAAGCAGCCTTAGAAAATCTTCAGGAATTGGACTAGACGGACCAAGCAATGCCACCAGTGGAAGAATTTTCCTTTTCCTTTAAAGAAGACAGTCTCTCCGTCTATTCCTCAGGCTGGTGTGCAGTGCAGTGGCTCACTATAGCCTTCAACTCCTGGGCTCAAGCCATCCTCCTGCCTCAGCCTCCTGAGTCGCTGGGACTACAGGCACTACCACACCCAGCTAATTTGTTTTTCAATGAGATGTGGCCTGTTGTCCAGGCTGGTCTTGAACTCCTTTCTCAAACTCCCAAAGTACTGGGATCACAGGCATGAGCCACCGTCCCCAGCCAGACTTTTCCTATCAAGATTAAAAATAATTTGATCTGAAGAAGGCCAAGAGAGAGGGAAATCCTCTTACTTGTACAAGTCTCGGGCCACATCTTCCTCACTGGCTGCGTATCCACGAGTGTCGTCTGTAAAACTAAAGCCTGTGCCCACCTGCAGGGAAATAAAGTAGCAAGTATAAATGCAGAGAAACACACATCTGGAGACCTTCAGGGAGGTCCCACACTGGAAGGTGACCTTGTTCCGAAGGCCCATCCTCTGACTTCCAATAGTAGCCCTTCCTCAAGAACACACTGCGTTCCACATCTCCCCTCCATCCATCCCCCAAATAAAATGTCAGCACAAAGCTTTGCCTCCGAGTCAGTGGCTAAGATGTCCTAGTTCCTCAGTGAGGACCCTGCCAGATGTTGACTTAAGGAGGAAGAACTCACTTTTCTTGGCCTCTGGCTATACTATCAAAAGACCCAAAGTTGTCTCCTCTCTTAAATTTGGAGGGTGACTCGCTCTGTCCTGCCAAGAAGGAACTCTCTAGGATGGAGATGAAAGGTAGTTGTATTTGGTCCTCCACCTCCCCTCTGCCCTTGTCCTCATCCTTCTATTCTGTATTGATAAGAAATATGGCCAGTAAGCCATTTCATTTTTCAGTAAAAGTGTTTTCAAACAATTAAGACTAACTTGAAACTAACATTTCCCTGACTTAGAGGTTCATAGACAACTGAGCTGTAAATCAAAAGAAGAAGCTAGGGTGGTGTCTGTGGCTCAGAAGGGTAGGGTGCTGGTCCCATATACTGGAGGTGGCGGGTTCAAACCCAGCCCCTTAAAAAAAAAAAAGCTACTAGTTACTTTGCATCAGTAATTTGTATAATGAATGCACTCCCCACCTAGTGGAAAGTTTTTTTTGTTTTGTTTTTTGTTTTCTAAACACCCAAGCATACAGGGCATTTAATTCACTATTTATTTAAATACACAAATGGACACTAGGGAAATGGTTGACAAAACAAGGTGGGAGGGTTAACATGTCAAATTTTATTTTTCCTTCTGATTTACTTACTTTTTTCCTTGAACTATCTGAAAAGTTAGCGAAATTAGAGATTTTAGTTAAGGGGCAACGATCTCCAAATCTGCAGAAGTTGGTCCTAATTACTCTACTATTTTGCTCCTCATTAGAACCAATTTCACAAGACCTTCCCCCCAAAGTATCACTTTTTATCCTGAGATTATGCATTCTGTCTGCTTTAATCAGTGAAAGAGACCAGTTTTGCCTTTTTTTTTTTTTTTTTTTGGCAGTTTTTGGCCAGGGCTGGGTTTGAACCCACCACCTCTGGCATATGGGGCCGGTGCCCTACTCCTTTGAGCCACAGGTGCCGCCTGTAGTTTTGACTTTTTCTATCAGGAACTCTATGTGAAGGATAAGGTGTTCAAATACTATGCAATAACCCGTGATGTGGGGAACCCATGTTATTAGTAAAAAGAAACTAACCCCTTATCTGGGTGGTCTAGTTTAGTGAAAGGACATTTCATAGGATTAAACATGTGGAAAGAAGGCAGTGGATAAAATTCCAAACTCAGATATGATGACATAAATAACAGAAAAACTAAATCTCAGAATGGTTTTAATTTTATAGCTTCCATTCTATTTTTTTTTTTTTTTTTGAGACAG